GCGTGCGCGCGCTTGCGCGCATTTTCTCTATCTATCTCTCAAATAAGTAATTGAAAAAAAATTGTTTAACTGAGATATGCAGCGTTCCAAATGGAGACACTTTCCATCATATAATATCCAAAAACTGTTTGGATTTATATCACCGCCCGTCTTGGGAAAGAGCATCAGTATTTGGAAAGTGTGAAGCTCACGGTGAGAGATGCAAGTTGCCAAGATTCTCATCCTTACCGGAAACTCGGGTTCTACACCAGCTACAGATACTATCCACTCTTTTCCCTGCAGTGGTCATGCTGTTCATTTCAAGAAAATAGCTGCTGAACGCCCAAGGTTGAATAGTCCTATAACGTCTGACATAGTCATTCTTTCAAGTAAAAATAGGTCCCACCAAAAAAGCGGCTAGTTCAGCTCAAACCTCAGACAACTGCAGAAATATGTTTCTGTGGGACACCCGTCCCCTTCCATGTGTGGCACCAACGCTCACACACGCTTGCCCTGTTACTACCCAAAAAATTAAGAAGATGTGTATGTACTTCAGGGTTGAAATGTTTAAGAATCAATGGCTGCCTTTTTTTTTTTTTTTTTTTTTTTTAATTTGACACAGAGAAGCAGCAGCAGCAGGGGAGTGGCAGGGAGAGGGAGACTGACACTGGGCTTGATCCCAGGACCCCAGGATTATGACCTGAGCCAAAGGCAGATGCTTAACCCACTGAGCCACCCAGGTGCCTCAAGAACATTCTTAAGTGAAACTTTCTGTTTGTTTTTATTTAGAGAACATGGCAATGAATACTGACAAGAGGGACTAGTGCAGTTTGGTTCTGCTGCCTGGGTTTATGGTCTAGAACCAGCAGTTTTAGTCACCAGAAAAACAAATTTCAGCTCTAGAAGAGGCGAACAGTGTCTTGGGATATTTTAAAGATAGTCCTGAACCTGTGAACCCCCGGATAGTGTATCAGGGACCACACTTTGAGGACTGCCAAGCTAGGTCATGCAAAGAGGAAAAATTCAACATATTGACCATAGCAAGTATTAGTTTGTGCTAACAATTATCTCACCTACACAAGCTATATTACATGTTAATATATTAAATTTCTAGGCATTTACGTACAATTAGAAACCAGAACTTATTGGGAAAACATAATGGGAACAAAATTTCTGTGATTTTTTTTCCCCATCATTTGTGAAGATGAAGGGTCTCCATACTGTATAAAAAAATCTGTGTTAAAATCACAGTGGTGTTAATTACATTATCTGTCCTTGAAGATAGTCTCAAAGCCGTGTGTTTGATTCAGATGCTCTCATTCCGAGATGCCAGTCATACCATTTCTACATTTGGAGTTGGCTTTAAGATCTTGTTAACTGCTTTTGGTAACGCCATGAACACACTCAAGCAAACCCATCTTTCAGCAGACAGCCAAAGGTAACGTCAGGATGGGAGGCAGTGAGAATCAATATAGTAAGAGTATTTTTAGGGACTATTGATGGATTGCTGTATTTTGAGCTTAAGTCCAGCGCCAGATGCCCCAGAGCTGACTAAGATGAACTCACCATTTACTGAGAACCGTATAGTCCATCACGCACGGAGAGGGCTCTGAGATCGCCAGGCCAAGACCTCCACACCTTTCCCTCTGCGGTTTTGGGGAAAACACCTGGGTTCCAGCAGCCTCATGCCATGTTTGGGTGAGGGCTTACTCTCCCCGCCAGAGCACCGCGTTAGCCAGTCGATGACCTCCAGGTCCTGGTAACGCATGACCATGAGATTGGAGGACAAGATTGTCAGCCGCAAATCAATTAATTCTCCGAGTCCGGAGAGATGCCGTCCAGCACGGCACTAATGACTCCGCGGCCCTCTCTGAAGGCAGCCCCCCAGAAGGCTGGAGCCGCGTTAAACCGTTCTTCTGTCAGCAAGCTGGAAGCTGTGGGTCTCTGACACGGCTCACAATTGCTAGCAGGTTTCTCTCATTGCACCTCATTTGCATCTGGGACATCAATTAGCATGTTTGTTGAGGCTAATTGAATGAAACTCAATCATAGCTCTTAATTGCTTGACTATGTGAAAAGAAATCACATTAATGCAGCTAATTAAGTGTACGGCAATAGATGCAACATAATTAGGAGCGAGAGGTAAAAAACAAGGGATGGCAAAGGTGCAGGAGTGGGCTTGCGGGGGGCCGCAGTGCTCCGTTCCTGAGCTCACCGCACGTTCGGCAACGGGTCCCTTTGCTCCAGCGCCTGCTTGGAGAAAATAATCTGCACGATGAGCATGGACAACTTGAGAAGAAAAATGCAAATAGGTTTGCAATTACTACTTTTTCAAGCTGTTGAGGGGCAGGAGATAGCACCTCTGGGGGGCCTGGCTCTTGAGTGGGCCCTGGGGACTTGTTAAGTGCTGTTTAAAAGTACTTGGCTTTGAATTACCCTCATGCCTTGTTAAAGGGTTTTTTTCCCCTTTTATCATCGATCAGCATTTTCTACAAGGAACAGGAGAAGGGTAGTATCTGTAACATTTGCATATCAAAATCAAGCTTGCTGTCTTTACTTCACCCAGTGAGGCCCCTACCTCAAACCTGTAGGGCGCGTGTCCCACTTCTAGGAGGCGACATTGGTTAGTGGTCCTGGCTTTAATTCCTCAAGTACCAAGCTGGGGCAAGATGAAAAGGCTGGGTTCTTTCAAAAACAGAAAATTCGGGACGCCTGAGTGGCTCAGTGGGTTAGAGCCTCTGCCTTCAGCTCAGGTCATGATCCCAGGGTCCTGGGATCGAGCCCCGTATCGGGCTCTCTGCTTAGCGGGGAACCTGCTTCCTCCCCTCCCTCCTCCCTGCCTCTCTGACTACTTGTAATCTCTGTCTATCAAATTAAAAAAAAAAAAAAAAAGATTCTCTCTCCCTTTCTAAAAAAAACAAAAACAAACAAAAAAACCCAGAAAACTCAGCGTCGTTTCTCTTGGGGGAAACTTGAAGCCGCAGACGCACGCCTTTGCATTCCACCTGTTTCCGAAGCACCATATTGAAGGGCTCTTGTGGATTAGGAAGTGCATTTTGTAAGGTTTGTAAAAATGTTAGTGGCTTGCACTGTAAGAATTGCCAAGTTTATATCCTGGTTTGTTTTTTTTTTTAGATCTAGCTCCTCTGAAGTTTCGGTGCCTAACTCAAGCGAGAAAACAGATTCCCTGGCCCATGCTGAGCCAAAGATAAATGTGTTCCCTTGCTGCATTGTAATCCAAAAAGCAGACACTTGGTACATTTCTATAATAATTTTAAATAAAATATCATGGTTATTGTATGTTAAAACATGCCTATTAAAAGAACCCATGCTGAGGCTTTAGTCACTATCTGATTAGCCTCATTTTAGAGCCCATAAGCAATAAATGCTCAATTACACTCCTGTTATTGTATTTTAATTTGTTAAGAATTGGCATTAAAGAAGAAAGTTATAGCAAGTTGATATTTTTGAAAGAGTAACTATGCAAGAATGAACTCATTATGTACAAGCCTTAACTTCAGTGTTGAAGCTTAGGTTGGCCTATTTTCAGTGGATATTAATGGAAGTAAGTTAAAGATGTTTAAGAACAACTTTTTTTTTTTTTTTTTTTTGTGGATGACCTTGACCCTCAGCCCTAGACTAACCAAGGATCACTTCCCTTCTGCTTTTTGTTCACCATCCTCAACACCCTGAGCTCATTCATGAGGTTCCATGTATTTTTTCCAGTCTGTCTTATCCTTCTATCTAATTTAATGGTAACAACCTTCTGTCTTTGGTCCACATCCTTTCAAAACATAGCTCTTTCATGGTTAATTATATTTGGGGGAGTTTCCCAAGCATCTTGACTTCCAGGTGGAGTCTTGGGTCTGTCAAGATGGCGGAGACGAACGCCAGCCAGCCTGTCCTGCAGGGTCAGGTTGCATCAGGGCCTCTACTCCTGGCTCCCATGGCTGACAGCAGATCTGTGGATCCCACTATATCTCTCTGGGTGGTGACTGCTGACAGAGGCCTAGCCTCCCCACTCTCATTGAAGAGCTGGTCTGTTTCTGACCCACTTCAGTACAGCTCTGGATCCTTTCTCTGCTGGTCTTTGCTCCCATATTCCTCCTGGCTCCAGCCTTGTGTAGCCTTTTGAACATTCTTTGCACGTGGAGGTCCCGTAATTCCTACTTCACCAGTAAGCCCCTCACCCTGGCTCTCATTTTCCTCTCCCATTCCCCCACCCAGCAACCAGTTCTTGGGTGGTACTTTACACTGAAATGTAAAGAGACCATCACTATCCACCTAGACTTCCCCCTGGTTCCCTGTTAGCTCCTGGTCATTCACCTCCAGCATGGAAAGAATGGCAAGATAACTTTTTCTGGATACATTGAATCACTTGGGAGAAACACAATGCTTAAGTACCAGACTTACTCAGTGTTCTTTCTTTTTCAACATCCAGCTATTACATATCCATCCATGAGCTTTGTGTTTTCTCAGCACCATACCACCAAACTCTCAGACATTGTCCTGGTCCTTAGTGAAATCCTTGACCTTTTACTTAGTTTTCTCCTGAGCTCCCACCAGAGAGCTTCATTCTTATCTAGGCGCTTAGTGGTGTTGCTATCTGAGACCGAACAGTTGTTACAAAATAGTTTCCTACTGCATGGAATTTTACCTGAAACTTAGACAAAGAGTCTGGGGTCCTAGTCTGCCATGTAATAATAAGCAGCAGTTTAAAAAACATGATTTCATATGGATACTTATTTTCTCCAGCTGGTCTGTCCTCCCCCCAGTGGAAGCATTTCCTGTGTCTCCTTGTATTTCCAGGGTCTGGGTTAGTTCAGGACACAGAGGCTGTGATTTCAGTATAATGATGATGCCACCATACTAGACAGATCAAAACCTCATTATTTTTAAAGTGCTTACCACAGTGGAAGGGGTCATAGGATTATAACTTATGGTGTCTGATAGAACCTTGTGTCCTAGATTGTACAAGGTCTTCTTTTTAATCTCTCTTGGATGTTTAACATTTTGAACAGGATTACATGCAGAATGTTCATGGTAAAGAGATTGATCTTCTGAGAACCACTGTGAAAGTCCCAGGGAAGAGGCCACCCCGAGCCACGTCGGCCTGCGCGCCCATCTCCAGCCCTAAAACCAACGGCCTGTCCAAGGACATGAGCAGTTTACACATCTCACCAAATTCAGGTAAGCTCATGGCAGACCGGCACAAGAACCCAGTGGTAGGTGCCGCTGGTCACGGGACAGTGTGGAGCCTTGGAGATGAAGTGAGGTTAGAACCATGAACATTGTACTTTAAGGTTTAGAAACCTCTTCACTTCTGTGGATGGTCATCTTCCCTACGCCTGTGGTTCCGGAACTGCCAGCCAGCACGTGGCACCATCTTGAGTCACAGTCTCACAAACCAAACCATGAGGTTTTCCCAGAGATGTATAGTTGGAAGTAGAGTTTTGCATATGATTGAGGATTTAAGGGCCTTCTAAAGTATGTAAATGAGCTGTGAAAGTATCAAGGGCTGGTGTGTATTTGTAGTGACTAAGTGGATGAAAGTGGAAGAGCTATTTGGAACAAGATTGAAAGGAAACTATTGGACCTCAACTTTCAATTCTCTCGGCTTCATATTGTTAACTTTTATGTCATTCTTTTACAGAACTTTAATTTTCTTTATTCTCTTTTGAAAGGAGATTTGGTCTTTAATTCAGGATCAGAGGAAGTGTTTCTCAAATCTAGATGTGTTTAGAAATTCCTGGCCATTGTGTGCAGTTGCAGGCCATTCAGAATGTCGTGGTTCATTTTTGTGAGTCTTTGCAAATGGTTGCCTTCTGGCTTTGACCTTCCAGTGATTACTTATCAGAGAAAAGGCCTGAGTCCTCCTTCTAACACACTTTAACACACGGGTTTGTTTTCTCCAGCAAAAAGTCCCTTTTTTCTCTTTGACATACATCCAGTCTTTTAAAAATGAATTAACTGTTCTTTGGGACTTCTGGCATATGTCTTCGCTGCATCTTTCTCCTTCTGAGGTGTCAGGTGCTTTGAAAGACAGATCACGCTGACCCCACAGTTCTATGGTATACACAGTGTTGGTTGGTGAAAGCAAGGTAGTAGAAAGGGGCCAGAACTGGGGTCCGTTGGGGCTCTACTGTGTGATACCAAGTGGCGTTGGACCGCTAATTCGGTAAAGTTTTACCACCATATTAGGTCGATCTTGCCTGGCCTGTGTGCATCACAGAAATGTGATGGCAGGTAAGATAATACATATGAAAGTTTTGGGAAACTCATAAAGTACAATTCAAACATCAGATGTTATTAAAAATCCAAAGAAGTAGGGCTTTCTGCTAGGGAGACATCAGTTCATTCCAAAATGGTGGTTAGGTCTCTTATGACCTGCTGACCTTCCTTCCGAGACATACCTGAAATTTCCCTTTTCGGGATGGTGTGCTAACTCTGGGATACAAAGAGAGAAAATAAGTACCCATGGTGGAAGGAGGGATTCTGTATTAAATGAAAAGCTAATGTCTTCACTACTTTGTATTTATTAGCTTTTTCAAAAAAATATTTAGTGAGCGCCTGTCCTACGCCAGGAACTGTGTATGCTGTGGATGTGGAGACCCCGATCTCCAGAACTTACATCTGAGTCCATCACCTTAAAACGAGCTCATTTTCCACTTCTTCTAACCCACCATGCCAAACCCACCCATTTTAGTCACGTGAACAAACATTTATGGCATATCTGATGGATGCCAGGCATGGTGCTGGGCTCTGGGAACACAGAAGATTAAGACTCATTTCTGCTGTTGAGAATCTTGGGCTCTGGTGGGGAAGAAAGCCCAGCAGGCAGGTAAAGGCAGGGCTCTGAGGCAGGCCATGGTACAAGTACACAGGGGCCTGAAGGTCTAGGGGTGATGGGTCCAGTTTACCCGAGGAGGTGGACCAAGGCTCAGGGCTTGGGGGGCGCCTGTGCAGAGTGTAAAGAAAGGATGGATGGGAATCCGCCAGGCACAAGGATGAGGGAAGAGCCTCAGTGATTTGAAGGAGTTTTAAATACATAATGTTTGGAATTTGGAGTTTTTTTCATCTTGAGACTTGTGTTCTTTGGTGCTGAAATGCCCCTTGTTTTCCTCAGGAAAATGTAATGTTTGGTAAACAGAAAATGCAAAATGCCTTGTAACCTTATCATATGCGTGGAGTGGCTCATGTCCTGTGCCTCGGCTAAAAGAGCATTCCTTTAGCCCCTCTTTCTTTCTCTTGAATGCCCTGGCATTGGGTGGATAGGAGGGTTTGGGGTGGTGCACAGAATCCCTTTCCCTGCTCCCACATTCAGCTGATGACGGCATGTTCTTCCAACCCTTAGCCAAGTTAATTCCTCTTAAAGGGAACCTGGTTGATGTTTACTCTTCCTCGGATCACAAGTAGGGACGTGGAAGTGGGGCTGTGACGTCACAGGAGCACAGTACCACTTTGGGGAAAGACAGTGCCTCGTGGTCACAGCGGTGCTCAGGGACGTGCCTTCCTTGTCTCTGCATGCAGGTGACCTCATCGGCTGGTGGCCCTCTGTCCCCTTGTTCACAGGTGCTCTCTCACGTGAAGAACAATTTTAACTTGAAGTATGTTGATGTTATTTTAAGTGGCAGACTTTGACCTAAAAATAGGTATTATTTCAGCTATTTTAGGGCTGTTTGCCAAAGAACTTAACACGCTACTTAACTGTATTCTTTCTCAACTCATTTGATTTCTGCTGTTTTGTTCTAGAGGTCCAAGTTAACATGGAGATGTTTGTTTCTTTTCATGCTTTTCCTTTTTATTTGTTTTCTTATCTCAATTACTGGAATAGAGTAATGTTTTGTGCCTTCCCTTCTTGTAACTTTTTCACTTGTGTAGATGTGATAACATGCATGTACCCAAATCCTTGAGTATACCATTTGTTACTGTCTTAGGACAAATGTCCCTAAGTGAAGTGAACTCAGTCAGTGGTTATATACCAAGATCTTGGTATGCATTTCCAAAGTAATTTCTAGAAAGGTTTTGTTACACAAGTACCCTTCCATCTCTAAAGTGAGTATCCATTTCACCCACACATGCTTGCTAGCATTGCTGTTATCATTTTGGAATCTATACTAAAAATACCTCATGCTTTGTTTATTTGGATTTCTTCAATTAACACTAAAGTTGACCATCGCATGCCTGTTGATCACAGATATTCCTTACGTCACAATTGTTTAGATGTATCTTTTCCCGTTTTTGTATTTGGTGTTTGTCTTTTTCTTACTAGTATATAAGAGTTCTTTACATGTTAAGGATATTAATGCTGTACAATGTGTTCTGTAGGTATTTCTTCAGTTTATTATTTGCTTTTTAAATTTTATGGTCTAATTTACGTATAGAGGTTTTCCCCTTTTTAATGTATAATCAAGAATATATACATATAATCAAATTATAAGTCTTAGTTCTGCAATTTCTGCTTTAGATATTTAGAAACCCTTTAATAATAATCCTGAAAACAGATCACAATTCATAAATATATATTTCTGAGTTTTGCAGTTTTATTATTGTTTCTTTCTTAAGAATATTTAGCCCTGAATCCACCTTTAATTTGTTTGCATCAATTATACACAATAGGAAATCTAATTAAACTCTTTATTCAAATAGATAACTAATTGTCCTTTCTCTGTCAAACTGTTTACTTATGACTGTGTGTGTCACCTTTATTATATAACTAACTCATTTCATCAAAATCACTGTGCTTCTGGGCTCGGGAATCTTTCAGTTGACCTATTGTTAACCATTGTGTTACCATGTCTGGATTTACTACAGTTGCTTAGGTTTATGATTCAATTTATATCTGGTAGTAATATTACTCTTTGATTTGACTGGTGTTCTTGGCTGTTGCCACTCATTTATTTTTTCCAATAAACTTAAGAGTAACTTGAAACCTTCTCCTTTCCCCAAAAAATAGTCACATTGTGACTCATTGACAGTGCTTTTATCTATCAGTTAATTGGGGAGGAACTGACATCTTTACTATATTGAGTTTCTTGTCATGGAACACAAGTCTTGCCCAATTTATTCGAACCTAATATATATTCCTCAGTAAAATGTTAACACTTTTCTTCATTTAGATGTATCATGTCTATCCATTCTGTTAGTTTATAATTTTTGATGAAATGTGAAGCTAATTTTGGAGGGGAGAGGGGTTGGAAGAGAAGGAGGCTGTCTGTTATCTCATCTACTTTGCAAGAAATAAGAAAGCTCCGGGTGCCTAGGTAGCTCAGTGGGTTAAAGCCTCTGCTTTCCGCTCAGGTCATGATCCCAGAGTTCTGGGATCGAGTCCCGCATTGGGCTCTCTGTTTAAACAGGGAGCCTGCTTCTCCCCCCACCTCTCTCTGCCTACTTCTCTGCCTACTTGTGATCTCTGTCTGTCAAATAAATAAATAAAATCTTTGAAAAAAAAATAGAAATAAGAAAGCTCATAGTCTTTATATTTTTTATATCCAGTCATTGTATTGAACTCTATGTTAGTGGGAATATTTATTCAAATGTTTCTCTTGATTTTCTAGTATATGATCTTAATGCATCTCACACTTCAGATATGATAATGCCTAATTGTATGTTTGTGTTGACTTGGAATACCTTACTGCTTTCCTTCCTGTACTGCTCGTGTACCGTCAATACTGGGTCGGCTGCATGCATGCCCAGCCCCAAATAGTGCTTTGGAGTTTCGTGGGCAGTATGAGATCCTCCCTTCAGAGACCTTGCACTCTGGTGGGCGCAGAGGAGTCAGAAGATAAACAGATAAGACCATTGAAGTTGGTGATCAATGCTCAAGGGATGAGGGGGGCAGCTGGATAGAAAATCACTGGTTGTGGGGGTGGTCTTATGTTATTCCTAGTATTGGGAAATGCTTCACCAGTCTTGGAATATTGACTGCATTTCAAACATCAAAATGCTGGAAGTGTGATGATCTTCATGTCATATTTTGACCAGGGCTTAGGGAAGGGGAGGAAAAACACATCCAAGTAGCTGCCTTGTGTACTGATAACTGAGCCTGGGTCTCCCTTTGGGGCCCACAAGTTACACAGAGCAGAAGAGCCGCAGTGAAGGTGGGGAGGCCCCACACTCCGTGGGGCAGCTACGGAGGGCAGGCATGGCGGGCAGAGGGACACATTCAAGAGGAGCCTGCCATCAGTGTC